TCTCTCTCTCTCTCTCTCTCTCTCTCTCTCTCTCTCTCTCTCTCTCTCTCTCTCTCTCTCTCTCTCTCTCTCTCTCTCTCTCAGCTACTAACTCCATTCGTTTTCGGAGTCACAGGCAGCGTCGCCATCATTGCTGTCGTCCCCCGAAGCCTCATCGTCGTCATCGTCTTCAATCACATTCCGTGTCTTCTTTGACTTCCGCTGTCGCTGTGTTCTTCGGGGAGGCCGTTCGGCCGGTGGACAGACTGTCTCAGGTCGAGCTTTCCGAGGTCTTCCCTGGCCCCTCTTCGGTCCAGCGGTTGTTGCGGTCTCTTCTACCGCCTTCCTCTTCCTACCCACTATGCTCTTGTCGAGGTTGTCGTGTTGCAGGCCGTCAATCAACGGCGGGAAGTCCGGCTGGGACTGTTGAGAAGGCACAGCAGGAGGGGGGGCTGAAGTGCTTGCATGTGGTCGCCTTTTGTAGACAACCGCCACATCTGGCCCGCTCCATCACGGCAGTCCTTGTCTTCTTCCTCCAGCGGTTCAGTTGAATGAATGTCCGTGCGGGGCAAGTCCTCTATTGGGTGGTCTCCACATGCGCTTGCTGCCGCTGCCGTTTCAGTGTGTTCGCGCTGCCGGCCACAGCGGGCGCAACTCCGACTGCTGCCCCGCATCCTCCCCCTCCTGATCCACCCCCGACTTCCTTCGTTCCTCTCTCCCCAGTCCGTCGGGGAACAGCTACACGTCTCGCTGCATCCTCCTCGATACGCTGCTTCACAATGACGCAATCTCTCTTCGCAAGTGCTTGTGCCATCGCTCTATCGGCCTCGTTGTCATCATGTGCGGGAAGTTCTCTATCTCTATTTAGAGGTACCAAGAACTCGAGGTCACTATCAAAGTGACCTGTTTCCGGTCTCATTGTCAGCGCGTCAGCGTCCTCGTCGTCGTCGTCATCGAACTCGTCATCTGACTCCACTTCCGAGCGCAGACCGAAATCCATGTCCTCATCCCGATCCTCCTCTTCTTCGTCCTCTCCATACTCTTCTTCTTCCACCCGCGCTTTACCCTTTGCATTGGCCGGAGCTGCCAAAGACTTCTTCTCTTTACTTTTCTTCCCCTTACCCCTCCAAACCAAATCCTCGCCATCATCGCTGCTGTCGCTAGCGCTGGAGTCGTCCACCCTCCCGACCTTCGGAATCCTCCCGTGAGGAGCTTTGCGTCGTTTCCGCGTGCATGGCTGCTTTTAAGACCTCTGGTTCCTCGTGCAAAAGGACGAAGTCTGGGCTGGATAACCTTTGCAGCGCAAGATGCCTGATGAAGTTCACGCAGGCAAAGGTCGGTGTATTTACCGCCTTATCTGTGACCATGACTAGGAACCTTCTTGTGATGAACTCGATCTCATTCTTGATGCTGGTCTGGTCGATTGGTTAAGCAGAAATGTGTCGGTGCTTGTTCCAGTAGCTGCACATTTTGGCCCTTGCCTTATCTAGCGCTAGCTTCTTCACCTGCCTTCTCCTCTTGTCGCTGAGTTGTGTGATTTCATATATCATGCCCACTGCTTTGTCTATCAACAACCCCACTTCGTACAATGCTTCATCAATATCCATGATGGCCTTCAAGGGGACATGGTTGAGTCTTTCTTTCAACATCGTTCTTAGTCTACAGTTATCCGTGATTTCCGGGTTCATCGAGACCACGTGCTGCTGCACTGAACCCAGGATCAGCTTGGATGGATTATCACTAAGGAGCGAAGCGTACCTCTGCGACCTGCATGGACAGCTGGCAGCGTCGTAGTCCTTCACCCATTGCTGGAGATTGAAGTCTCGAAAGACTCTCTTCGGCTTGCAGACGTATGCGGCCATTGGATCGTTGCACGACCATCCGAACACGACATCATTCAAACATGCGTCGGCTTCTTCCCCTACGACACGCTTCAGGGCTTCCACGTCAATTCTTCTCACAGAGAAAGCCTCCATGATTTTGCTTGTATACCTCATGTGCAGGTATGTCGCTTCAACGCGCCTCTTTCTTACCCATTTTCGCCTGCCGTTGGGTAATTCGACCAAACTGCCACCCAACTCGAGATCTTGTGGGACAAGGATGGTGGGATCGAGGTGAATCATCCGATCACTCATGGGACCAGATGAGGGAAAGGCAAAAAAAAAGGAGGGGAGCGAGAGAGAGAGGGGGAAAAGGACTAGGATAGCGAAAAAACAGGGGGGGAGAGAGAGAGAGCGAAAGATTCAGCATTTATACAAGAAATCAACCGAATTTTTAGCATCATCTGCGCAATCCAGTTATGGTAATGGGAAAGACAGAAAGGAGAAAAAAAGGGAAAAAAAAGAGAGAGAGAAAAAGGAAAGAAAAAAACGGGGGGAGAGAGAGAGAGAGGTCGAGAAAGAGAGAGAGGTCAAGAAAGAGAGAGAGGGGGAGGGAGAGAGATAGAGGGGGAAGGAGAGATGGAGAGAGAGAGGGAGAGAGGAAGTAAGGTCGAGGTTAGTGCGAGCGGACAAAGTCATGACTCCTAGATCTCCCTCCGAGAATCTTCACCTCACTCTCCTGCTAAACCTTGATTGGGCCGAGTCGATCTCTGATTGTTTCTCCGGAGACTCGGAGAGTGCCCACCGGTGGTTGCAATGCATGCCTGGTTTATCGGTACATGTTCTACCGGAGGCGTGACAAGTATCGACAATTGCTGCTCGGCTGCTTGTGCCTGCCGTAGGTGCGGAGGAATCAAACCCGGATCATGCTCGGCTGCGTTGATCCGATCAGCAACCACCCTTCGCGCTGCTACTTGTTGTTGGCAATGTTGGGGTTGCTGCGGATGAGCAGCTTCGTGCCTCGGAGCCGGTTGGAAGTTCAATCTCCCTTGGCCAGGAAGAGTTTCGGGGCAGCTCCGCCTTCTGCGAGTAGGTCTCCGACTCTCCGTGGTGAAACCGGAATGACTCTCCGTGGCGAAACCGGAATGACTATCCATGGCGAAACCGGAATGACTCTCCTTCAAGGGTTGGTCTAGTAGACACCCTGGTGGGAAGGAGAATCCTTCCCATTGCTGGGGGGGTGTAATGCCTCCACAACCTTTCATCGCGTATGACGGCCTCCACCGACAACTGATCGTCTTCTTCGAGTGTTGCGATGCAGTTCGTCATGATCTCCCTGATGAACATGAAGATGATGCAGCCCCTGACCGCGTCCTTCCAGGTGGTTTGTAAGTAGTGGATGAACATGGAGGTTCTGACCCTGGTGGAGGACAAGCTAGGGAACAGGACGTCAGGATGAGCTAGGAGGTACCAGATTGCATGGTCTACCCAAAGCGGGCCACCAGTGCATTCCCTCTGATCGTTATCCTTCTTGCAGCTACACTTGAGATAGGGTCTACCGTCACTCCACACCTTCCGTAAGTTCCTAAGATCAAGTGAAGGTGGTTGGCATATCTTTTTGTGCCACATGGCGGGCTCCGAGTCTCCGCATTTGTTAGGATCCATGTAGGTCAGGATAGAAAAAGGGAGATTAGTTGGCTTTAGAGGAGGATTCCCCCTATCGCAATACTTGAGTTGCCCCTTGTAAGCTATGACCCTACACTTCCTAACATCCTCGTCGGTAAGGTCAGCAGGAAACTGGTACGCTTTCACTGAAATTGGCGCAAGGTGATTATACGTATCCATCCTCCATATCGAATGCTTGAAGCTTTGGCATGTGTGCTCCACCCATTGGTGCGACGCTATGGGTGCAAATGTCGTGAATTGCCTGTTAGCTGCTACTATATGCGGTTCAAGTTGCTTATGCTGGCCTGCCTAGGGGGTTGCGTATGTACGCTCACTGCGATGGCATGCTCCATCTGATCAAGCTCAGCTTCATTAACCTTCAGCGCCTGGCATCTCGCGGTCCCCGCGGGGCCAGCATGAACCGCTGGTGGTGGGGGTGGGCGTGGCAGTTCGACATTGGCCGGGACATGATTCCTAAGGTGCACATCACTCAGATTCCATGCCCTCAGAAAAATCTGTTCTACCCTCACTACTCTGCCCGTTAGTTCAATATTCTCCCTGGTATAGGGTATCTTCCTTAGCTCAACTTCAGCAGCCAGAACCTCCACTTCTCTCTCGTAATCTGTCCTATCGTCATCCCATGTCCTAGCAAGCTTAGCAAGATCGTTGAAGGCAATATTCTCGAATAAGTTTGGAAATCTACCCGTATCCAGCTGTCGTTTAATAATCTCCATACTGTCGACTTTCATGCATGTGATGAGGGTTTGTGCGGGTTTGCTTGGCCAAGGTTGAGCTTCAAGCCATGGGAACCTCGTGATGACCTCATTCCACCATCCTCTGGGAAAGGACTCCGTGAGCGTATTCTGCAAAACATGCAGCAATCACAAGACAATCGACGACCAGGTGGGAGGGGGGATCGGGAGGAAAACAACCCAAAAAAGGGAGGGGGGGGGCGCGGTACGACGGAAGACGAATTCTGCCTGTGTTATTTTGTCATTTTTCTCAGCTATACCTCCGAGGTAACCCGCCATATCCCGACTACCATTTTGATGCTTCCGTTTCCCACAAAGTCAGACCACTTCCAAGTTTCAACCACTATATTCGATCAGACTTCCGAGACGGGGGTTTTCAAGGTACGGCTTCCGAGAGCACCCGGAAACAGCGCTACGGGGAAGAATCCCACTCGTGTGTGTTATAACTTATAATATTGTATGGTATGCCAAGATACGATATTCTAGTATCTCGCATTTCTCCAACAATTGAATGTCGGCGCACCTTGTACCCGGGTTTAACTGCAGGTATGGTATGACATAGTCGTGCGGTACGAAAAACACCTACTAAAGCGAGGATATTCTCACATTCTTCCTGGGGCAACCGAGTACTGACACATGGACAACTTCTCCATTATAAAAGGAAGGGGGAAAAAAACGGGGGGAGAAGGGGGGGGGGGGGGGGGGGGGGGGGGGGGGGGGGGGGGGGGGGGGAGGCACAAAGGGGCGGGGTATACGACGACTACCCATCGATCAACAAGACGTTAGTGAACTTCGCTGAATCGCCTATTATAATTTTGCAAAGGCTAGTATACGCTGATAGTTGTCAGGAAGCTACATGCTCTCGAAAAAGCGCACGCGGATCTGTTTTTTATCACGTCGTAGCCAAAACCAGAGTGGTAAGAAAAGAGAGGGGGGAAGAGGGGGAGGGGGAGAAACCAAGCATAGGGTAATTGTTGCTAACTCTGCACAAACGAGTAAAGGGCTTAGGTTTGTATATGCATGGGTGGATATAAGGTTGGTAAAGCAGTGAAAAAACGTTTTACACAATCCGATACGAGAAGGGAAAATGGTAGGACCGTATGAGGAAGCAAGAAAATCCCTACGGTGGTTGATCTTTCATTGGTCAGAAGCAACACAATAAGGATTTTGAAAGCACCGAGAAGTAAATTAAAAAGATAGTGGTGGGAACACGACAATACTTTCAGACAGGGGGGGAGGGAACGGTGTGCTCCGGATCCTCAAAGCCTCCTCATCTGGAAGGATGGTCGTGGTACCATTGCAAGAAATGACGAGGTGAATCATACACACATCGCACATAAAGCTTTCGTAAACAAATACGCAACCAAACTTCTTACAAGGAGAGTAAAGGAATGCGGGAGAGAGAAGAAGAAAGGAAGAAAAGAAAGAACTCAAAAACTTTTTATTGAAACTTTTAACCGGAACTTCAAAGGATTGAATCAGATTACAACGTCATAATACTACGTTTCGATCTAGAGAGGACCAGATCAAAGAAGAATCAAGAACGGAAGCAGGGAGAAGGAGAGAAAAGGAGAAAAAATGAAAACAAGGAAAGAAGGAAAAAAAGGAAAAAAGAAAAAGGACAGAAGAAACAAAAAACCTGCACCGTGCCATTCCGTGTCCTAATTTTTGCGTCCATGCACAAAGGACATCTCAGCAGATCCACACGCGGGGTGGCACATCCCTGAGGCCTTTCGGCCGCGTTGTTGGAAGGCCGAGAGCAAGACGAAGTAGGAGGAGGGGAAGGGGAGGAGGGGGGCGGGACATGATATTTGCAGTGGGGCTGTACTGATGATCCAGCGCTCGTGGAAAGCCATGGTGAGCACGAACTGCAAGGGGGAGTGGAGGCGTCGTTACCTGGTGCCTGGATCGTTTGCAGGGGGGAATCGTGTGGGGGGAAGGGGGCGCGGGGGATTGCGAAGACACGCCTGCATTGGGGAGGAATGCACATGCCGAGAGTTCCATGGCCGTTCTTTCTCGCCCCTCATCTAGCGCCATTCCGATAGAGCCTCCCGCCAACCCGTTGCATGGTCCTTGGTGAGCAGATCAATTATGTCACCAATTCACGTAGGTGCAGCGTGGCGACGATGAGGGTCAGGGTACAGAGAGCCCTGAGGGCGGAAAAGAAGAAAGCGGTGGCGCGAATGAGAAGGGCGAAGTTGTGCGGGCTAGAGAGCATAACATACTCTAATTCGCAGGCCCAACAAAGCAGTGTGCCGATAAGGAAATTAGGGACGAGTGCTAAGCAGAGTGCGAGCGCGCAGAGGAGCGTGAGAAGAGACAGCGGGTCCAGTCCACTAGGCTTCATGGTAGCGCGGCGACGATACCCCTTCTTCAGACTCGATGAAGTCTTCCTCGCAGTCCGGATCGATATGAAAGTCCATTCTGGCGCCTTGACTTGACAACACTTGGGAAAACACCGATCAACCTCGAAAATGCCACGATCCCTTCGATCAGTGACTCTGTAGAGCACGGTCTCTCGTGGTTTCGTTCCAAGACTCGAAGCAATAGGAAGTGCCACCCTTAGCCAAGCTAACCTGCTTAAAAAGGAAGAAACCTAGCTGCACAAGAGCTACCAAAACGGCAACAAAATCCAGAAACACTAATTAGACTCTTAACCTAACTTAATAGCAACGGTTAACAATCACGCCTAAAACGGCGAACTAAATGCGGTAAACAACAAAACAAAATTAACGAATCCAATCAACAAAATTAGGAATAGCGATTCCACAAACTGCCAAAACACCGAAAACGCAAGACTCCAGAGTCGCAGCCCCATCATATCAAAGTCGCCCACGCTTTCGCAACAGTGAAGAGGACTAAGACCAGAGTCGCAGCAGTCCATGTAAGCATCTTCCAACAAGCAGTGGCTTCGGCTCCTTCATGCACTCTCCACGAGAATCAGCTTTTGAAGGCAGCATCCGACACCAGTGATCCACATAGTTACATATCTGAGATCAGGGAGCTGGAGCCCCTGATCAAGCTTCATTTATTGTATGTTGACGGCTAGCAAACCCTGCCACGCGGTCAGCCACACATGCGACTCTCCCCCTTTGCGACCTAACAGTCCCTGTTACTTTTCCTTTTACACCAATGTCTTTCCCACCACCGCCACACGACCCTTGATTCCTTTTTTTTTTTTTTGCCTTTTATGGGAGCATCATGATCGCTCCTTTGACGGGAATAAATAAATAAATAAATAAATAAATAAATAAATAAATAATATTGGGCAACCCCACCAGAGACGTTTGGCATTGTCCTTATTTTTCCTGCTTGAACTCCAGCAATACTTTTTTTTCTGCTTGAAAAAAAAAAAGGGGTAACTTCGGCGCAGTCACGAAAACAGTTTGTTACTGTTTGTAATTGCATTCGAAACTGCGTTTTAGCAGTTTAGTCAGGGCCCGAGTTTCAATTGCAGTTGAGACTCAGGCTGCCTTTCCGTAGCAGTTCAGTCAGGGCCCTCGTCTATCCACGAACAGCAGATTAAAAAAAAAAAAAACATCCCTTATGCTGTGATTGCGGTCCGATACAGGATGCTACAGTACTTGTCTGGAACTCGATGAACCGTGGAATCTGCCCTGCCTGGCTGGCAGGGCGCTACAGGGATCTCACAACAAAAAAACAAAAAAGGAAAACGACCTGTTTCATGTTCCTCACTTCCTGGCCAGATACATTCGTCAAAGCACTGGTGACCTTACGGCCTTCCTGACGTAGGTGAATGCGAAGTTCCTCGTTTCTTTACTTTTTTATTTCTTCTTTTTCTTTTTTCTTTTTTTGGCCTCCATCCCTGGCCCGAGGCCCCCACTTTTCGGAGTAGGCTACTCTTGAGACTTCGCGTTTGCCTGTGAAGGGTAGTGCCTGCGAATCTCTGTTGTGGCCGAGACATCTCGGCCCTATCCAATCTGGGGTGTGGCCGAGACATCTCGGCCGTGGGCAGTCTGGGGTGCGGCAGAGACATCTCGGCCGTGGCTAGTCTGGGGTGTGGCCGAGACATCTCGGCCGTGGC